CTTATGATACAATCCATTTTTTAGAATATTTTAACCGAAGTGAATTTTCTCAAAAGCTGTGCCCAACAAAAAAATGTTTAATGATTTGCCAAGGTGATTTGACCATTTCATGAATATATTTCCATTTTAATTCACGTATCATATACTTGTAATATGTTTCCATTTTTATTCATTTACGTATCACGTACTTGTAATGTTTTTCTTTATTTAACCATTTGGGATTAAGCATTTTTAAGCTCTAACGTTTTTTCCAAGTGAATTACATTCTTTTCAGCTATAATATTTAATATATACTTTAATAATATTTAATTGATATTTAAAAAAAGGATAATCTAGGCGTAGTCCCACTAATTTGCAATTACATATGAGCCAAACGGTTCAGATTCAATATGGGCCGATCAAATGATCACACTTGATTTTAATTTTTGTTTCTACAAATTCAAATCACGTGAAATTTTAGGCATGTATTCTTCTCTTCAAAGCGCACCTAATAAAAATATTAAAAAAATAATTCGTAAATATAAATTGGCCAAAATACCCTTAAAAAGTTTCGAAGGTATTTGGTCAATTTATTTTTTATGAAATATTCTTTTTTATATTTTTATTGTATTATTAGATTTCTAAAGAACAAACCTTAAAATTTCAAGTGATTTGAATTTATAGAAAAAAAATAAAATTAAAATACAATCGTGATCACTAGATCAACCCAGATTCAATCTGGGCAGTTGGACCATATATAGTTGTAGGTTAGTGGGCCTATGCCAATATTTTCCTTTAATGAATATAACTATATATTTTTAGTTATAATATTTAAATGAAAAATCTACTGTCAGCCCATCAACTGATGGAATAATGTAAACCCAACAGTCTAGCTTAAATCTAAGTCGAACCAATGATCACGATTGCATTTCATATTTTAATTTTAATTTTTTTTTTTACCAATCCAAATCACTTCATCTATTCTTTACAAATAATAGAATCTAATAAAAATATTAAAAAATAATTTTCAAAAAATAAATTGACTAAAATACCGCTGAAAGATTTTAGGAACATTTTGGTCTAATTATCTTTCATGAATTATTAATTTTTAATAATTTTATTAGGTATGTCTTGATGAAAAGAGTGGACATCCAAAAATTCATGTTACTTAGATTTATATAAAAATATTAAAATTATATTACAAAATACAGTCGTGACCATTAGATGGCTCAAATTAAATTTGAACCATTGAGCTTACATTATTCCTTTAGCTGATGGACTGACTTTAGCTTTTTTCATAGTTAAATAATACACATATATGTTAACCATAACATTTAAATATATATTTTTATTTTTGGGGTCGGGTCCAATTGGGTCCGGGTCTGGATGATCCCACCTCTAGTCCATCCCCAAAGAGAAAGAAAATAGTGGTGAGCGAGAAGAATGGAAATAGTGGTGCACGAGTGTGACAGGAGGGAGTATGTGTCTCTCGTGATCAAATTCTGAGAGGGAATGTGAAATGTTTGATTGGTGTCTCGAGATTCAGGCTCTGTTGGCAAATGAAAGAAAACAAAATAAGCCCAAAACAAATAAATAAATGAAAGCAAATAAGAAAACATACAAACAAAACTCATGTGAATTACAGCTCGTGACATAGTGAAATGCTGGGGAGGTGGATATATTGAAATGAACCATGCCAAATTCCTCGAGCTTCCTATGAATATTACATAATTACCCATCACTTTATTTCAATGATTAAATCTTTAAAAACAGTTTTAGTTAGATCTTGCGAGAGAACCTCTGAATTTCCAATATTTATTTATTTATTTCTTTGCCAAACTCGCCAAATAAGAATTACATTGGTCTCGCTATTTACTCTCTCCCTCTAAAACAGACCATAATATCTACAACCACAATTAGATCTTGTTCGATAAAAGCGTCAAAATAACAATCCGCCCTAAAAAGCCCGATACAGAGTATCATATCGCAGATAATACTTGAAGGAATTAGGTTATTCCTTAGGACACGACGGTTTTTATGTAGACGGACCTGCATGCAGTCCCCACATCTTCTACCATCCAACAAAATTGGACAGTGGAGATTGCATCGATATGTGGCAATTTGTACCATCTAATTTAGTTGGACGATCTAGATAGCTTGCAGGCAATGCTGGCCAGCCGGCAAAAAACAATATACCTGCTACTTAACCATCAAAGAGACGATTAGGGTGAGCTCAAGTGGTCGTTTGGCTCCAGGTATAAAAATATCTGGGTATCACGCAAAACCAATCATAAGTCCGGGTTTTGAATATCTGGGTTTTGAATGAAAAACCAGCTTATTTGAGGGTTTTTGAAAATTTGGGCTTTGAATGAAAAAAAAAAAAAGTGCCAAACACACTATTTTGGAAGAAAGCCGATTTCATAAGACCAGGTTTTATAGAACCCAGGGGTCCAAATGGACCCTAAGAGCTCAACCCCAAATCGTTACCAATATTAGACTTGAGTCAAAGGACTAATTGATTACAATATGTGAAAAGAAGTGTTATTCTTGTAATTTCGTAGGTAATGTGGGTCCTCTTTGGAATACTAGAAAACCATCGAATCACAAGCGAATTTTAGTGTTGTGAAAAAGATTTCCTCCTCCCCAAGTGGATACTCTCAACTTACTCCCTAGGACAAAATTCATGCCATGGATACTTTTTGGATCTCAAATTTTAGAGACAATCTTTATAACCCTATAATCTCCGCAAAAAAAACAAAAAAATCTGAAATTAATTCTCGATTTACTAAAAAAACTTATGCTTTAAAATTGAAAAGAGACTATTCGATTTTTGTGGGGCTATATCTAAGTGTTGCAAAAACTTAAAATTCAAAATTTTCCTTTTAAAAATAATCATCTAGTAACTATTATCTGTTTTCCAAAATTTTAGACTAAAAAAATTCTCCGAAATAAGCGAGGGAGGAGATGCGCAAAAACACCCTGCCTTCCTAATATGACAATTAAGTCCTTAACAGGATTCCGCTGAGTCGCTGGCTTAATAGGGAATGGTCTCAATAGTCATAGGATTCTGGGCGCTTAAGACTCTTAACAAGTCATTTCCATAAACAGATATGGGCTTTATAGTAATTATGTATAAAAGACATGTGACTCTTGTTAACTCTTCAACGTATAGTATAGAGAGATCTATATCGCAACGGTCACATGCTCTTGGGGGGGCTAACACCAACCGTGATCTCATTTAAGTCAAACTTCCTCCTCACCCACTACTTATCCCGCCTGCTTCCTCACAAACCACATCCTCTCTCTCTCTCTCTCTCTCTCTAAACCAAACAAAACTTCCTACCTTCTTCACAAAACACACTCATCCCCCCCCCCAACCACACTCATTCCCCCCCCCCCCCCCACCCCCCAATCTCTTTCTCTCTCTCTTGCTCTCTACACACGCACGCACAGATAATCCACATACGTCCCTCAATTCATAGAACACCATCATTCCTCGCATAACAGCCCACATATTCCACCTTCTGTTGCAAACTATGATCCTTTTTTCCTAAAAACCTACATCTCCCACCATTCTTTATAGGCCCATATCAAACCCCCCCAACCCCAAAACTCACATGGAAAGTTGCAGGAAGAACCTTATGAAAACATGTAAGAAAGGCCCCACTAGGGGCAAAGGAGGACCCCAAAACTCATCCTGCGAGTACAGGGGAGTGAGACAGAGAACATGGGGCAAATGGGTTGCAGAGATAAGGGAACCAAAGAAAAGAACCAGGCTCTGGTTGGGCTCTTTTTCTACAGCTGAAGAAGCTGCATTGGCTTACGATGAAGCGGCAAGAAGACTCTATGGGCCCGAAGCCCACCTCAACTTACCCCACATACACTCAAACCCTCATTCTCTACAAAAAACCCTTAGTGTAAACTGGTTTTCCAGTAAGAACTTTGGTTCCAATTATCATTCATATGGAGTTCTCAATCTCAATGCACAACCTAATGTGCATGTCATACACCAGAGGCTTCAGGAAATGAAGAAGAATGTGAACCAGCCTCCACCTGTTTCATGTCCCCTGGTCTTTAGTGAGAAGGGAAAAGTAAATTCAGGCCCTGAAATTGAAAGAGAAGAGAAAGATGGCCTAGAAAATTATGGGTTTTCTGCTCAAGAGAAGCAGATTGATCTGAAGGAGTTTCTTGAGCAATTGGGTGTGTTGAAAGATGAGCAATTGGGTGTGTTGAAAGAAGAGAGTGGGTCAGATAGTAGTGCAACACCCCCGCAGCAGATCTTGCTGGGAAATAACTTTCCAGCAATTTCAGAGACTGGAGAGTTGGACGGTCAAGATTTCCTTTGGGACGAATTAGAGGAGTTGAATGGGTTTGATCACAACACAGATGACCAAACCTGCACTATACAGATTGAGGGCCATGAGGATATATGCCTGACTTCCTCTATTTGGGATCTCTAACCTCTGGGATCTCTAAACTGAGAGAAATAATCATGGTTAGTTTTGGTTCAGTTTCATGTAATGTCTACGTGTTGAGGGTTAATAGGTAGCATAGCAATGGGTAGTTCTTTCCTTTGTCCTCCAACCCCTTTTTTATGTTTGTTTCGGTGGGTAGTTCATTCCTTTGTCCTCCAACATCTTTCTTTTGTCTGTTTCAGTGGGTGCCGCTATTGAGAGAGAGAGAGAGAGAGGATATAACATAAAGATTCTCAAATTCAGCGTTCTTCATATCTCTGTATACATACTAAGGTAAGATGGAAATAGGATCATAAAACTCAATATGATGCTTGTTTCTAAGCAGAAAAATCTTAGGAAAATGAATATTTATAAATATATTTTCTTAGACATAATTCATGCATTACTTTCATTCATTCAAGTACTCTGATGCACTCAAATACTCACCATGCTCGTCAATGTATTCAACAAGGCGTTTCAAGAAATCATTGTGGCTGACCGTCTCAGAGTCACAAACTATGCAACACTGTCTACGTGCTCGTGTCACAGCCACGTTCATACGCCTCCTATCGCTCAGAAAACCAACCTGAAATATAACAAAGTTCACAATTCTTTATCATGAAGTTGTGAAAGTGCACTTCAGAGTAATTATTTATCAGGGAAAAAACAATATATTTATCGGTAAATAAACAGAAATGTCAAACATGTCTTATCTTCTTTTTGATAAAACTCGCTTTGGTATTGCTGAAATAGGATTTTTTACAAGTTTTGTATGAATGTCTCGTCGTAAAGCACCAGACACCACAAATATTTCAAAAAAGCAGATTTCTGAAGGCATCGCCAATGGCCAATTCTTTCACTAGTGAATTCACTACGTTGTCATCCTCTCCCCAGGAATGCTTAAAAGAAATCTGTAGGTTGCTACAAAGAGATAAATCTGATCAAACACCAGTTCTAGGTACCAGGGACAATGGGGCCTTCCTAACGGTGCATCTACTGACATTCAGTGACTCTCCAACTACTACTTGGCAGGATCCAATAGTTTGAGGCCCTGCCTCAGCCTTTGTTGAGGTCAACATACCAATGGGACTCTTCACCTGATGGTTTCTAAAAAAGCCTCCTGCTCCTGATAGGCCCAGATTGCTTAAAGAACACCTATCAAATTTAGTTTAATGGACCTGATGGGAGGAGGCAACCACAGGTCTGGTCTGCTTACAACAGCAGTCTAGAGCTTCATAGACACCTTGAATTTTTGGACGAAATATGAGGAATACAAACCAAAGAAATCCTTTCTATATTGCATCCAAAAATACCATTTTCTTGATATCTCATTAAAGGAGTCCACACTCTCTTCGCTTCAAAAAATATGAGCATTTTGCTCAAGCCAAATGGACCAGATTGAGCCAGCGTAGAAGCCTGCCACAGGAAAAAGCCGGCTGAGGGAAATTTGTGGTTTTTTTTTTTTGGGAAGGGGGGGGTGGGGGTGGTGTGGTTGGGGTGTAGGTAAATATCCAATCAAAAGGCATTGGACATTTGCTGGCCAGGTTCACTGTCATTCAGAATAGCTCAACAAAGAACCCCAAACTTGGACAGTGACTGGGCAAAAGCAAAAAGAGATGGTCTAAAGTTACTTCAGCTTCCTTACACATGACACATTGGTGGGAATCAGGATGCCTCTCCACGAAGTTAGTTGGTAGTGAGGACTTTCTTGAAGATTACAAGTGAAGACCCCAATTTTTGGAGAGAGAGGTGGACTAGGCCTTATACGTGATACCCGGTTCACCATTCATGGATAATTCATGGTTTATAGAAGAGACTAGGAAACCCCCCCCGAGGGAGCAGGGCACCAAATAAACTTATCACTAGCCAGCCATGCACTAAAGTGGTTGTTGAACAATTCTAAGAGAGCAACCAAGTCAGGGATCTCAATATCTTGAAGGTTGCTCCAGAAACTCGAGAACCAAATTCCTTGTCCCCTTATCATCTCATAGGACTGTTTGACAAACACATTGTGCTGTGTAACTAGAGAGAACAAGCAAGGGAACCAGCAGCAAGAGGTGCTGTCCCCAGCACAGAGGTCCCTGCAGTGAGCCGTATTATCATCTAAGAACTACAGAAAAATTATCATCCAATGGAGTATAGAAAACCATAGCCCAGTTTGGGTCCTCGCATCAAATTTATTCATGGATGTTGAGGGTTTGTGGTATATGTTACATAAACCACTGTACTTCACTTGCAAGGAACAAGTGCATTAAAGTAGAGCAGGGATTAACAAACACACACACCCCTAAGCCACCTACTAAAGTGAAAAGTTCCTAATGCATTTCATGGATAACACAAGCTAAAACTGGCTTATTTGTGCTACATGCCACTAGGCTCTATTTGTCGAGTTAAAGTGGTTTTTTTGGTGCTTCACAATGCTACACATCCTCTTTTTTTAATGAAGATTAGTAGTATGCTGTTGAACGATAAGCCAGAAAAATCCTTTTGAGGCCTTTTCTGAGAAGCGGTTGGGATGAAGAACTGCACAAATTTAGGGCACACAAGAGCTATTATTACATCAGAGGGGACAAATGCACATTTCCAAGTAAAAATTACCTCCTGATGTGAGTTAGATCGGACCATTGATATGATAATGGCTTCTTTCTCTCGACCTTGGAAGCCATCAACAGTAGAGACCTCTATATCTTTCAGCTTGTCTTCCTTGCTTCTCATCATCTTCAATAACACAACCTATGTCACCATATCCAATATAAGCATCAAAAGAACACTAATTGGCAAGAGGCAAGAGAAAAATATATGTCAAAGAAGAGAACCGAAGTAAAAATTCTTGTGGAGCACAATTTCACATAAAGGAAATAAGCAAAAAAGAGTTACATATCGGCAACTACTAGCATGCTGTGATGCTGAAGCAGCAGAAAAAAAAATCACCATTCATGTATTTAGAGAGGAGGGTGATTGAAGGAGATAACAATGAAGAAGCTCAAGGAACCAGCACGAGTTTTAAATAGAAAAGATGAACACAAAGAAACACAAGGTCAGTGTAATAGAAAATCTTAAAGTTATTAGAACGGCAACCTTATATGTATTCAGAGTGAATGAGACAAGGATACCAGATATAGGTCAGGGTTTTCCATCTCTAATTTGAAAAATGTGATTTCACCAGTTCATAGGGCTAAGATGTATATTCATGTACTTTTAGTTTATGTAATTAGCCTATTAGTTCAGGTTATTTTTGTCATCATCATCATTCGAGCATTATCCCAACTATTGAAGTAAGCATTTTTTTCCTTATATATATATATATATATATATATATATAGTAGTAATGATACTATAG